GGCTGATTCCCACCACAGCTGCTGTCATTCTGCCTTCCCTCATCTTCCATGACAAGAAGTTACTGTTCTCTTCCCCTACCAAAGCCAGCCTGAGTTAGTCCATTCCCAGGCTGAAAAACTACAAACGAATTTCACACTGAAAAGTCATCACAGAACAGCTACAGCATCTGAGCAGGGATCTCAACTCTCGTATGTGCACAAATTCTCATCTCTGCCTTTCTGCAAGTTAAATCCAGCTGCACATTTCCCAAAAGTGACACATGATTAAAAGAGTAAAACCAAAGACTGATGGTCCTGTTACGCGTGAATGAATATAACAAAAGAACAGCCACACTGAATCAAGCCAGAAGTCTACCTATTCCAGCACCCAGTCCAGCAGGACACTTCGCTATATTCCACCTGCCCCACAATATCTGGGGATGCATTTCAGAAGCCACAGGGGACTTCAGTCTCAGGCACTACTGCCAAACAGATACAGACACATTCCCGAAGAGAAAATGTACCAGTTCCATAAACTGTCTGCCAAGATAATGTGACTCCACACAGCAGCAGCAGAACCAGGACAGCACGCCTAGCCTGAGGAAGCAAGAACTATCTTCCAGTGAGACCACCATATCTTCTGAAGAGAAGGAAAATGCACCCAAGCACTGTCCCAAATCAGAACTTAATAAGAAGGATTCAAACTGCACAAAAGATTAAAAAAAAAAAGTCAATTTTAGTCAAACTACACGCACTTTCTGGAAACTGTCAGTGAGCCAGATAAATGGGAAAGGTGAAAAGTTTTGTATCGACCTGTGCCAGCCTAAGCTGTGACAGCTGCATCCCTCTCACCACGTTCCTATCCTCTCTCGAGCAAACATTTGCACTCATGCAACCACATGGTGCGCCACTTCAGAGAGCTGAGCCAGCTGAACGCTAACCTACCAGAAAAAGCTATCAATTTTTTTTTTTTTCCCCAAAATTAACTCTCTGTGCTGACTTACTGCTCGGTCACACAGGCAGAGGAACACATGGCTGGAGTCACGGAAGCCCCAAACCACACTGGCTCAAGCTGCCACAGAACTGCAGCATGGATGAACTGCTAACCAGCTCCGCAAAGGGAGAGGTACACTGCAAACAGGAGCGTGGCGTTAAGTGTAATTCCAGTCTGCAGTGAGAACAACAGATCATACTTTTTAGACCCCGGTCACGGTGGCATCCACTGCGATATATCAGGACAGGCTGAGGGACTATTTCGCAAGCCAACTCTCACATCTCCCTTTCTCTTTGCTGGAGTTTGCTTGACTAAAGAGAACGGGAACACCAGGCTGCCACCTGCAGAGGACGGAATTGGCGTTTAGCTCTTTTAATAGAACTTCGCACGTGCCTATTTCCAGAGCGAGAGGAGAAGACAACGTTGAGATCTGCAGCAGTATATTACTCCCTGCGCAGCCACAGCACCAGCACTGCTCTGGGACACAGCACCCTTTTTATAGGGAGCCAAGAATGCCTGCTATGAAACAGTTATTTATATTGAGCTTTAGCACAGTCAGGTGACAAAGAGCCGTGGCCTTGTATTTAAAAACCCTTCAACTGATGGTTCATCTTGCAGGGAAGCTTAGCTACAGCCTTTCAACTGACCCTCGCTCCTTTGCTGGAACACTTTCCAAACTGAAAGGGCGTAAGGAGCAGCCTCGCAGGGCCATGCTGTAACCACCCACCCGGAGAAGCCCGCTCCTCTCTGCTCCAGCTGCACAGCGCCAGAGCCTGGGCCGGGCCCGAGAAGCTCCCACCCCGCACCGACGGGCAGGCGAGCCTGCGCCAGCCGGGCAGCCTTCGGCAGAGCTGGACCCCAGGGGGGATCAGGCCTGGCACCAGCCCCGGCCCGGCTGGGGACGAGTGGCAACAGGTGAGGGCGGGCAGGGCCGGGCCGGGCCG